GCTGCACTTAATTTATGCCTCTTTTTTCCCTCCAAATGACAACAGCCATGCTTTAAAACTAGATGTTCCCCTTTCTGATTAACTGGTAACGTTTATGTGGAAACCTGAAGACTTTGTGATGTCTGTCAGAAACTCCGCGCCACAATTTAATGATCTGGGTTTACTGTCCCTGGGCTTTTAAGCTACCACCTGTAAATAAAACATCCATTTACACGCAGAAGAAAACACTTCTGGGTTTTTCATGCTGTTCGGATGCGCACTGCACTCCTGCACAGTGCAGCTAATGGCCATTGTACACAGCCTCGCGATCGTGCAGTGCTTCCCCACCAGCTGGCCCTCTGTGCCAGGTGTGTGGTGGCCAGGCACAAGGTGGTAGGAGCCAGGACGCACGCCTGTGGCCTTGCTTGAAGACACACAAACACCTTCACCTACTGTCTAGTTACAGAAAGATGGTGGGTCGGTGCACCGTCACCTTCACGTGGAAATCCCAGAACACTGGGGTTTTACTTAGAAATCCACTTTTGCCGACTGCGTCTCTGAACTCGCACCCTTTAGATTTCGAGAAAGGGAGACACGGCTGCAGGGGGTGTGTACTGCTCTGCATCCTTCCTGCAGGGCTCGCCGGCATTGGAGCCCGAGACTGGTTTCTAGTGAAATGAACTCTCACACGTCTCAGTACATCCTGGGCAGGTTCGAGAGAAGCCCTAGAAGAGAGCGGTGCAGCCACCGACTCTTGGGGCATGACACTTAGTGTTCATGCAAGAGCGGCTCTTGGTAGATACTTTTGAGGGATTCTGTGGGTGAGGTTTTTACCCCATTGCAAGATTTTTCCTCCCACTCGTAAGGTGTTGGTTTCAGGTCTTTTGTTGTGTCCGCTAAGTAAGTGTGGTCTATCAGTAAACTCTGAATCTCTAGGGCAGAGGCAGACTCTCTCTCCATTCCAGTCATTGATGGCTGCTGCATTTCTGTCTCCTTGAAAAAGGAGCCCCATGTCCTTGCTTATTGGGGCGCTATCTGAATGCCCACATCACACAAAGGAAAGCTCTGCTGGGAGGGTAACAGAAGTGACCCCTCACCCACCCGCACCACCAGTAGGAGATAAGCCAAGAGGCCTGGCACCTGTAAGAGACTTCAGCCAGGTGACTTCTGTCCCCATTTCAAGGCTGTCATCCTGTAGTTCTAGGGGCTGGCAGACTCCCAGTGCCCTTTTTGACATCT